TGGTTGATTTGCAAAACGATTTTGTAATGTATTACTTAAAGCAGTAAGTGAAGACTCTAAATATGTGATATTTTTCTTACTTTTATTTGAAACACGTCTTGTCGTTTGCTCATATGACACTGTCTGTAATATAGATGATGTGGAGTCTTTTGTTGAAAAATTATATTCATTTTCATTAGAGAAATCGGGACGTATTATATATTTACAGGTGATGAAACAAATTCTGACAAATTGTCAGAATTTGTTTCAGCCCTATTGATTTCCTGTGACAAATCGATATTCTGTTCAAAATTATTATTATTCCAGCTGCTACGAACACATTCTGCCAAACTTTCTTGACTTTGAATATTACCCGTTTTGATATGTGGTGCGCAAGAAAAATTTGTTTTTGATGGAATCTCTGCTTTATGAGACACAATTAGAATTATAATGAGAACGTATTATAGGAGGAAGCTGCATATTTTTAGAATTTTCTACACGTATTTGGGAAGCAAGTTGATGTGCTTGTATGTTTAATCTATTATTAGTTGAAAAATGTGACGTTTCAAGTGCTACTTTTCTAGCAGATAAGTTTTTAACATTTGTATACGATTTGAAAATTGAAATAAAAGTTTATTTATGTTGTATGTTGCAAATTTCTGAAATTAGACTTACTCAACCACACACATATATATATATAGAACGAGCATTTCTGTCCACAGCATGAGGCCGAAAGTTGACAGAATACCACTGAGAGAGATAGCATTTGGGGGGAATGCTGTCTTATTTTATCTTACAATAAGATGGCTGATGTCAACAACTGTCAATTGACACCAGTGTCATCTTGCAATAAGATAAAAGAGAGAGATTCCCCTCAAATCGCACTATCTCTCAGTCGTATTCTGCCAACTTTCACCCCCTCCATAGCAAAACCATACGAATGCTCGGTCTATTATATATGTTGTTGGACTACTACATTAAATATTATAATATTAACACATAAACTCTCACTTTCTTCGTTTGATATGTTTTTCTAGAAACAGTAAATTATTATACAAAGGAAATGGTGACCGATGACTAGCTCCACTACCACTCCGATTTTCTACCTCACGTAATCTCTGTTCTTTCGTGAAACGTTTGCGTAACCGTAACCAACGATTCTGGCAATCTTCTAAAATCCTTCCCAAACTAAAAGGAAATAATTAAAATGAAATAATTAAAAAAAAAATTCAAAGTAGAAGAAATGATAAATGTATCCGAAAGTATAACATTTTTACTTCAGACTTATATATAATAGGCCTCTTATAGAAATTTAATACCACCAATATTAAATTTTTAAAAAAGGCCTGTATCAAAATAGGCATAGAAATATTTAGAATAATATTGTGAAAACTAGAGCTTACTTGACATATTCATAACTTTTCCTATTTCATTCCATGAATTTCTTTTCATTTAGACATTCTTATACTCCTTCAAGGATAAATTATATAGATGAGGATATCCTCTTACTGCATC